GGATGGTATCACGAGGTATGCAGCCTCCAAAAGTTTTAATAAATCTGGATGCTTATGGTTGTGTCAACCATGCTTCTTAGAGCTTAAAATGATTGTGTTCAAAACCTACTGCAATGACGAACGCTGCCAAGAAGCATATTAGCAAGTACAACCGAGATAGCTATATCGATACACAAATCTACGTGCAGTTTTCTCGCGTAAGATAAGAGTGGACCAACCGACTTGTGCTGTAGCAAGAAGGATTTACTTCACAGAGATCGGTCAGGAATAAGAACTCAAAAATTTTATTTCATCCTGTGCCTTGCCCTCAAAATGGCAATAGACAGGAAACGCCTGAAAAACATTATACTAAAACCAGGTCCGTCTTCAACAGGACATGAGTAACCAAGTCGTTAAAAGTTCTTCAGGATTTCACGATATGTCTGACTCCACTTTGACTTCGAATCCAGTGAAGAACGAGTACTGTATACAAAGTAATATTGTGACGTCCATTTTGTACGCTCCTGCAAAAGTATAGAGAAAATCCCTCCACACCTGTTTTTCTCATGAATAGTCCTTTGAATTCCTGATGTATGCACCAGTTCTTCTATTTTTGTCTGTACTGTTATATATTTGTTCTCATTTTTGAAGTGCTTTGTAGTTGTTATTACTATATTGTACACACCTTCTGAATTTCAACTATTACCTTGACGTTGTTGAAACTTTTATTAACTGTTTTCTTTTTGTTCTACTTAGCATCGTTTTTAAGGCCCTTGCCATGTTGAATTGCTATACTTTAATTAATGCTTTTGTGAACTGGTTGCCTCTGTTTCTTGTGTTTGGTATTGGAGCACATTTCCTGATAGTTCTGTGTATGTTCTGTTTAAGGATTAGTAGTTAATTGTGTTTTTTACGCAACTATCGTTTTGCAGTTGATTGCTTATCTTTGAAGCATAATAAATTGGCCTATAATTCTTCTTCATATAGGATATTGTTCCAACTGTGATAATTGGGTTTTATCACTTGTCTGAGTATCTTCTGCTTCATTTTAAAAGATTTTACACTATTATAACGAAGTTATTGGTTTCTGTCCTTTTTTGAATAACTGAACTCGAAAGAGCCTCACCGTAAAGCTATCAATGCACAGGAACAATAAAGCAGATAAATAACTAAATCAAACCAAAAGTAAGAAACAACCCAGTATCATAAAAGAAAAATCGATTTCCATGAACGTAGGTGTGAAGTTGCAAACTAATCATTGTAACAGGTCAGTTATTCTTTTTAAAGTCATCGAAAGTGAATATTCTGAGCTCAGAACTCGCTTTGAGCATGAAATTCGGTTAAAGAATGACTAACTCAAACAGCTGATGTCTCAACATCTCTCTGTCATCACCTTAATAGACAGTAATAGACTATGTGACCAGAGAGTCCTTGAAGAAATCAAATCAGGCTGCTAAATATTGTAATAAAAGCTTCCAACGAAAGTGGATTGATGCTACAGAATAAACATAGACTGAGAATATCAATAGTTCTCGTTGATATGACAGGATTAGGAAGCAAAATTGCATTCTTTTATTCATTGTGGTTTTTATTTGAAATTACTTCCGTTCTAATTCAGCGTGATGATTACCTGGTACAGTATTTGATTCGTTTTTCAAAAGTGATTCCGACATAACAATTGGCAATGCAGTAATAACAACAGACGACCAGTCATAACACTCGCCCGTAAACACTTGTCAACCACTGAACGTATGAGAAAGTTAGAGGCTGAAAATGAACTATACTACGTTTGCATACTGGCATAAATAACTTCAAAATAATAAATTTTCCCGTGGCGAAATTTGGATGGAAAATGATGCCGAAGATATTTTGTATATAACACAACGTTATTTGAACAGTCATCGGATCTGTCGCATAAATGCACGCAGCTTGCTGAACAAGTGGTTTGAGCTAACTGTACATAATAATCTCACTTGGCTCACCCAGTCTATTGAAAATAGGAAACTTTATTTTTAAAGTTTGTGCACTCCTAAAGATAGGAAGCTACCTATAAGTGTATAGCATTTTATACAGTTCTACACAATTGTCTGTTGTAAAAATTAAACGATCTGAAGCTAAATAACTTATTAATTAAGTGTCAACAAAAAGCAATTGTTAACGCTGTGTCTTTTTTAGCTGGGAAACCATGCTTGATGGAGTGCAACAGATTACAGTTTTAAAACACGATCCAAGCCGTAGTGATGTTGATTCTCGGCCGTACGACTCTTAAATCCAGACATGCGGCAACTGAGAAAACCAAGAATCACGAACACGAGGACAGAGAATCGAAATGTTATGATTCGACCCTACAGTTCTACTGCAAGGGGCGGAGACGTGGAGAACTACAAAAGCCATCATTCGAAAGATACAAGTGCTTATTAACAGATGTCTATGCAAGATACTTCGGATCCGATGGCCAGACACTATCAGCAACAAGTTACTGTGGGAGACAACAAATCAGATTCCAGCGGAGGAAGAAATCAGGAAGAAACGCTGGAAGTGGATTGGGCACACATTGAGGAAAGCAGCCAACTGCGTCACAAGGTAAGCCTTCACATAGGATTCTGAAGGCCAAGGGAAAATAGGAAGACCAGAGAACACATTACGTCGAGAAATGGAGACAGACATGAGAAGAATGAACAAAATTTGGATAGAAGTAGAAATTAAGGTGCGTGACAGAGTGAGTTGGGGAATGCTGGTCGTTGGCCTGTGCTCCATTGGAAGTAACAGGCGTAAGTAAGTAAGTAAACATTCTTAAAAATCGGGGATAGAATAATATATTTAGTGTGAAAAAGGAATATGTTACATAGTGACCATGCATGCATGACCGAATTATACCGTTTCGATTCCTTGTTGTTGGTGAGTTCACAAGACGGAGACAAATTACATGTCAGTCGAATAGTGACTTCCTAATTGAATCATCAATGATTGTGATTGATTGCCCTTACGCGTGATGACAACTCCATCTTTTGACGCATCCGAAGGAAAATCGGATAATTTAGGAGACCTCCAGAGAGTTTACTAACACAGGCTACTTAGCTCCCTGTTTTTTCTTAGCTCTTATTCGTCTAACTTAGAAGTTGAGTCAGATTCTTCCGAAGTGCTAGTTTGTTATCTTGATTTCACTCTTTTTTTTCAAAAGTTCTACATTGTCAAAGAAAAGTGTAATTCAGACGAAACTTGCTGTGGTTTGTGATTTATATCGATCTAAAAAAGAATGAGGTCCTTTACTGAACCTAACAGTTTGAGCTTATCGACAAGACGATGATTGAAATGAATATACACATGGAGACAAAAAAGTTTGGTTTAGAGAAGGGTTCTCGTTTCAGAGAATTCACTTATAAAGCTGTACAATCGCATGCATATGCAAGTTTCAAAAATGACAAACACAATAATTGCAATGTTAGAATCCTGATAAATATGGTAACAATGAGGAAACACAAACAAAAGCATGAGAAAAATATTCAGCAAAGTAATAAGAATTTTGGTGCTGATAGCTTAAAAATTCATCATGAAGATCAATAAGGGATTGTAATCGGTAAGAGAATAATCAGTGTGATAAAGTAAACTGTTGAAAATTGAAATGAACTGTAGTCAAAAGGAGCATAAAAACGGAAACAAATCAGTTGAGAGTAAAAGTTCTGTTGAGAAGACAGGAAGGAAGCACATGGCAGTGAAAGAAGTACCATACGAAGAAACAATTGAATTGATTACCATGCTTTTTGTTGATTGGTTGAACAATCTTAGGGGCAAATTCATGACTGACTTTTACGAGACCTGGGCTGTTCAACGTTATCAAATGTGTTATCAAATGTTATCAAATGTTGTTGTCGGGGGTCCAGTCGACTACAAAAGAAGCTTTGGAGACTATAGATGCATTCGAAGTGTCTGTGTCGGGATAAACAAGTTTAGTTAGCTAGACAACACTGTCGATGTTATGGCAGTTCTGACTTTAGCACATTCCCGCTAGCGTTGGTGCTTGTTACATCAGGGCGACATTATCAGAAACCCTCTTCACTAACTCCCTACGCCCGTTATTCTGTTTATCCGTCTCAGAAATGCCTTGTATCAGAGTTGCTGTTAGTTTTCTTTTTTAAAACTCTCAGGAGATGGGTGATATTTCTTAGCAACTCTTTAGCATTTATACTGCATGTACCACATGCCCACTCGCTGAATTACTTAATCTGTTGTAAGCAGTTGCTGTAAGGTATATGCACCAAGAAACTGGAGACACAACACAGCAGAACGGGATGTAGAGATACATTCTACTCCATCAGAGTAATCAAATGCTGGAATTCTGTCATCTGAGCCAGTCCAAGCGACTTCTCAAGAGTCCTTTAAGAGGAAACTTGATCTATTCTTAAGGAATAATGATAACATCTCATTATGATTTACCAATTTATGTTTTTACCTATATTATCGTTAATATACCTAGGTTCCTACCTGGAGGTATTGGTGATCCACTTATTCTAGATATGGAACCCTGTTAAGCGAAAACGTCTTCTTCTCCATTTAATGAGAACAGGATGAGACACCTCAACTTCTTTCCGCTATGTTACAGTCGAATACTGGATGATCTAATAGTGACTCATCGTAACCTGAACGATGACCTTGGTACTAATATTTCTTATATTTTCCTTCAGTCTAGGACTGATCATTTGAGAGGACATTCGAAGAAAGTCCAAATCTTCCACGTCTGGAGTTTCGTTTCTCTCACCGAGTAGTGAATTACTGGAATTCTATACCAGAACACGTAATATCAGCACATTTGTTGATATATTCAAAACCAGATTAGACCTTCACAGTGCAAGAAATCCGCAAGGATTAATATAGAACAATAGACATTGTATCCTTGTTACTGAAAACTGAAGGCTGAAGACTGAGGATAATCATTTGAACCATTTGTATGTTAAGTAACCACTTATTCATTATCTCCGCTAAGGCCACGGTGCTCGCGCGGGCATTTTGCATACTGACTGGAAATGTTAGGAAGACAGTTTTGCGCTAGTTTCGGGCTGAGAAGATTCAATGGAAGTGAGTGAAAGCCATAGAATTAGCAAATCTTTTACTGCAAATGAAAACCCACGCTGTTTCTCAAAAAATTATATACCAAACGTGTGCAAAAGTAGTATAAATTGTCTAATTAGACAATTTATGGATTTAAATCTTGCAACACCAACTATTTATATCGATTGTAGGTCGGAATAAACATAATTACTAGTCTCCTGCAACACTGAAACAGACGTAAAATAATCACACCCATTTGTTTACCACATTGTTCATGAACCTTTCTTATCCAACATGTCTGTATCCTCCAAAACTTTTAAGATAAGTTTTTTCATGTCCTAAATAACTGTGCATATGGTTGCTTAAATCTAAGCATGATTTCCATGCTGGTGAGAGTTTGCCTAATCAAAATGTAGAGATGTAGAAAAAGTAGGCACTTGAACCTGAACAACTGGTTTTCAAGCCTCATAGACTAGCAAGAATTGACTAGAGGCAATTGTTAGATTCCTGTACCCTTGAATTGCCGGCATAACTACTTCAATGCGTTTTTTTCAACCGCGTGTACCCATATTCGATTGGCCAACAGGACCTAGCATGCAGTAACACTGTTAGTCCTTTAAGGCACATCAAATCATGAACTGTGGTTTTAATTCTTTCGTATGTCTGTTTTTATGTAATGCATACAATATATTCATCTATAGAAGTAGTTAAACTATAAGTTTAAACAAGTGTACAATTAAATTTCGTACGAGCTAGCTTCGATCGACTGTTGGTAAGGGATTGCTTTGTCGGTTCCAAAATAATCCATCTACTTTATTTGGGTTCCCATAGTGTGTCGAAGTCGCTACACAATTTGTGGTAAAGAATACCTGACTGAAATAAAAAGTATGATGGTCACAGTTCAAGTAGAAACAGATGAATGTGAAAGATGACTTGTATGACAACTGATAGTATAAGAAAGATATTGTATAGATGAAACAGCTCAATATCAGGCTCTATCACTCAGGTTTAACGATAAGACTATACCATACAGATAACCTCCAGCAAACTAGTGGATGGCTTTTGAATTACTCTATCAGAATACAACCTTTGTGTAAGAGCATCAGAATATGGAACAACAATGAAAATACAGAGAATCTGAAGTTTTTAGATCATTAGTGAATTTATTAGTGCTGAATATCAGTAATTCAGGCTGGACGCCATAGTTCTGTGGCAAAGATAGACTCTTATTCTTAGCTCTACATCTTTTTAGACCTAACTCTTTAAAAAATTTCGTCTCTACCTCCTATAACCTCATATCCTGTCTCAAAAACTCCGAAACCCTTACCCTAATACTCCTAACTTTAACATTTTTCACCCAAACACAATGGCCCTAACGCTTCATTTCATAAGGGTAGTATCATCTAATTCTTTCAAAATACAAAATATCATCAAAATCATGAGTTTTTGCAACAAGTCATCCAGAACAGCGTTTTAAATTCGGTTATAGGTTAGTCTAATTTTGACTGGACACTTAAGGTCGTCGATACAGTATAGTCTTACCATTTTAACTGTAGATTATAGTCATTCTGCATACAAATCTAAGATTATACACCTATGGGCATGGCTCAGACCAACAGTATGAGACTGAACCCACTTCTTGGTTTGGCGACCCTTAATTTTATTATGATCTGCCAGAGGCTGTTGTTGGGTGTCAAGGTAGTTAATAATGCCCTGGTACAGCCGAAAGTGGGGAGAGTCCGCTCTCCCTCTCGAAATGCTCTCACATGGCCACGCGTATATAGCCTCTGCCAGGAAAGTCCTACTCATCGGATTCTCGTGGCGGGGGTGTTCTTTACGAAATCGACAGGACGAAAAGCGAATGTCCAGCGCTTTAACCAGGTTGGTGGACACGGAAAGTCCACCTAGGGGAGTTGAAAAACCCTGATTCCAAACCAATGGTGCACATGTGTTCCAGTATCCTGAGGGAACAAATGGCGTATGAATTTATCGTTGGTCACCGGCTACCATGGGACTGCATCTCCTTACGATACTCCACTGCCTTGTGGATCAGATCTCTAGATCAAAGGCTCTGGATGTAGCCCCCTAAGAAATCCACCTGCTTCGGTTTAGTCACCCGGGCAGTATCACAGCCCTCACACAAATCAAATGAGATTTGTTTGGCGCATATATATCTGGTACCCCTTTGTACCGATATTTGTGTTTAAATAAATAATAAATAAATATAATTTAGTAAACATATATGAGTGCTACATCTAGTATCTAGTCACCTTTGTCGATAAAGATGTATACCCTCATCGACTGAATAGCCGTTTACTAGTGGAAACCTCACGTTTAACAGCTTTCACTTCGTAGTTTCACTATATATATATATATCATATACTCGCTTCTTTTTTCTACATGTTTGATTTCCAAAGCGATCCTCAGGCAAGCATCTTCGTTTCGGCATCTTCCCCTCAAAGAAGTGGTCGCTAGAGTGTCTGGAACCACATCGAGTACAAACACCTCTAAAAGTCCAACAAATACACCCCCACCCCCTCCAGTTCAACCTACTTCCGAACAAATTGAAGTTTTGGTAGATGGTAAACCAGTCACATGTGAACCTGGTATGACTATTTTACAGGCATGTGCTCTAGCTGGTGTACAGATACCTCGGTATGTAAATAGGTTTTTACGGATATTCTGTTATTCATAATATAATATGCATTTTAAAAAGCTCACCCTTTATATTTGATTCCTTGTCGTTTAAATTAAACGCAATAGTTTATTATATAGTAATAGTTTTTTGATTAGTTGATGTAATAGTTTCTTCTATAGACTATCTGTTTTTTTTCTAATTACTCACTGTATTTATTTGTGGTTACTAGTTCATTATTTCTTTACCATACATATGAACTGTTATATTACGGTTCTAATCAAATAGTCGTTCGTATAATTAGGAGCGATTGGTTCTTTCTAATTACCATGCAATATATGCTATAAAAACTAGTATCAACTTCTCTAATGGCTAATTTTGAGCTAAACAATAAGAAGATATCTTGAAAATATTATAGGGTTTTTTAAGGGTTGGTTTTATGGTCTACGCTATCATCACTCCATCTGTTTTTCGTGTGATTCATAAATGTCTCCCTACTATGAACCTCACAGTATTCACAACTGGCTCGGTAGAATTATATAATATATATATATATATATATATATATATATATATGTTGCTGACGATATTTTTCTCTCCAAAATAACATTTGAATCTCTATAAATAGTACTTTTAACTTCATTAGGTTGTCAAGCATGTATTTCACATTGATCAAACGTGGGATGATGTCCATGTTATGTTTAAACCAGATCCTGATTAAAATAGTGACTGACAGGGGTCGGATGCCTTGTAAATGACAGTGACCTAAACATCTTTACTAACCCTAGTGTTATGAACGTAGGTATGCTGTCGCTAATTGTTATAAACGTAAAGGAGAGGATGCTGGTTATAACAGTAGGGGTTCTTGTTATAACAGTCTTTTTACTTCTTATACGTATGTGGGACGTTAATTTATCTTAGACGAATATCTACACTAGATTCCCACCCAGTGTCTATTCTACAGGACTTCAACAGAACTTAGATCAAGAACACAAGATTAGCCTGACTATAACGTCAATATATTTCCACACCGAAATCCGACACAAAGAACAGTCAATCAATAAGTGTCCATCAACAAGAAACAGTCAATACATAATAAGGACAGGGGAATATATATATATAACACATAACTGTCATCCTGTCTAATGTCTGACTCATCGAGACAACCAATCATTATCATTCTCGCCCACACATCACCTAGTGGTTCAGTAAATATCAAAAGTTGCACAACAATTACAGAAGACTCGTTCATGTGTCATAGACTTAGATACCTTTGGAATAAATGCGGTTTCAAGATTCATATTGGGTATCCAGTTCAGTGCACGCGTTAGTGCATACTGAGTCGCGCTTATATTTATTGAAATCAGTAAGAAGTCCAGCTAAGAAACGCTAGACTACAACATCATACTAATCCAAAGTTTCACCGAACTGATTGCGTTTTCTGTTGTGTTGCAGGTTTAAATACTTGTGTCAGTCACCCATTGTGAGACGTTATATGCATTGTTCCTACTGCTACTCTCTTTTGTTAAGAAATTCACCCACATTACAGATACCACTGGTGCATGCTACTTATGTTAACAGATGTAGGGAGTATGTAGCAGCAGTCACAAGTGGAATTCCTTCCAACGGAAGATTGAATTGAATAAATCAGGGGGGGAAACGGAGAGCGATTGGAATAACAATAGGATTGAAAAGATCGTGAAGTATTTGAATGACAACTAAAGGGAGATATGCAAATAATTTATTTAATGTGATTTTCATATTTTGCGAAGGGACTGTATAATTTTCCATCACACAATAATGAATTGATTAACCGCACCTGAGTTTTTGTTCACTACACCACCTACTTCAGAGTAATCTCTGTGGTTGGATTTGTAGACTGTATCATGTACTTATCCAGCATATCAGTGTTTTATACACCTGCTTGCCAATAAAATCTAAATATGTTATTGCTTATTTACTTACGCCTGTTACCCCTCGTGAAGGGGCTTAGGCTACCCACCAGGATTCCCCATCGAACTCTGTCCTGGACAATCCTTTACAGTTGCTGTTCATTTTTTTGATGTCTGCTCCCAATCCCCGACGTAGTATGTTCTTTTGTATTCCTCTTTCCATTTTCCATTCAGTATTCCGTGTTAGCGCTTCCGTCGTGATGCAGTTTGTTGGTTTCCAAAATTTATGTCCTATCCATCTCCAGAGTCTTTTCCTAGTTTCCTCTTCAATCGAAAGTTGGTTTGTTCTCTCCCACAGAAGGCTGTTGTTAATAGTATCCGACCAACGGACATTAAGTATCTTGTGTAGATAACTGTTTATAAATACTTGTACCTTTTTGATGATGGTTGTGGTAGTTCTCCAAGTTTCTGCTCCGTACAATAGGACTGTCTTGACTTTTGTTTTAAAGATTGTGACTTTGATGTCGACTTGCATACAGTTGTTTTGAGTTCCATATGTTCTTCAACTGTGGGAATGCGGTCGTGGTTTGCCAATCCCCACCTTTACGTCTACATCCGGTCCTCCTTGTTCACCGATGGTGCTTCCCAGATACGTCAATGTTTCCAAAACTGACAGAGTTTCTCCATCAACTGTGATTGGTTTGGTTGGTGTTCTCCGTGTTGTATTTGAGGATATTGCTTTTTCCCTTGTGTATGTTGAAGCCTACCGATGTAGAGGCTGCTGCTACACTGGCAGTCTTCATTTTCATTTATTGATGTGTATAGGATAGAAGAGCTAGATAATCCGCAAAGTTCAAATTATCTGGTTGCATTCAAGCTGTCCAGTGTATTCAATGCTTCCCCTGAGATGTTGAAGTGTTCATAATCCAGTCAACCACCAGGAGAAAGAGAAAGAGAGAGAGTAAGCAACATTGTTTGGCTCCAGTCGTCACATGGAGTGTGTTTTTCCCCTACCCTCCATGCACCACTTTGCAGTGTAGTCTGTCGTATGAATTCCGTATGATGTTGATGATTTTCTCAGGTACACCATAGTGTCGAAAAACGTTCCTTAAGGTTATTCTATCCCCACTGCCAAATGCTTTCTCATAGTCAGTGAAGTTGATGTAGAGTTGTTTTCCATTGTTTTCCATGGAGTTTTGTTCCCTGAGCTGGATGGTTTGGTCTTCTCCACTATTCAATTGTTCGCTCAATAATGATCCGTATTGTGGTGATTTGGTCTGTGCGTGATCGATTCTTACGAAATCCCACCTGTTGATCTCAAAGTTGAGTGTTTACTGAGTCTTTCCCTCGGTTCAACGACACTGTTAAAAACCTTTCCTGGTACCGATAGTAATGTAATGCCTCTTTACTTATCCCATTTGCTCAGATCTCCTTTCCTTGGTACATTGATGAGGTATCCTACTTTCCAGTCTGTCGGCACTTGTACCTTCTCACAAATCTCCCTACAGTCACCTCTATGTATAGCTTCAGTGCTTCAGCTGGCATTTTGTCTGATGTTGCTGCCGCTTTTCCACTCTTGATTTGTCTGATGGCCTTTGGTGTTTTCGATTGTTGGTGGATCGACAACTATAGGAAGGTCTGTAGTTGCTGTTCTGATATCCGGTGGATTCAATGGAGCTTGCCTATTTAAGAGTTTTTCAAAGTATTCTACCCATCTTTCTCGCTGTTCTTGAATCTCAGTGATTGGTTTGTCTTCTTTGTCCTTGACAGATTTCTCCGGTTTGCCATATTTCTCTACCAGTTTCTTCATGTCATTTATTTGTTTCATATTTCCTTCGGTCACAGCTTTTTCCGCTGTCGTTGCTAGTTCTTTCACGTATTTCTGCTTGTTGGCTTTAATGTTTTTCTTCACTTTCGTGTTTGCTTCTGCGTACTCTGTTTGTGCCTTGACTTTCTTTGTTCTTGTTCGGCTGTTGTTAACTGATGTCTTCTTGTTCTTCCTTTCTTGAATCTTGTCCAGGGTTTCCATGGAGATCTATTCCTTATGATGATGCTTCTTGTGGCCCAAAACCTCCCGACACCTTGAAGTTGATGTCTCTTTGGTCTTTTCCACTTGTCCTCCATCGTAGTTTCTTCCAGTAGATCTTGTAAGATTTGGAACCTGTTGTTGAGAGATCTCGAATTGGTTGAGTTTGTCAGTATGTGGAAGGAAGTTTGTATTGAACCTTTGTAGCACTGTTCCCCCAGTTGTCCAGTGTTCCTTTAGCTTCAGTTTCATCTTGGCCACAACCGGGTGGTGATGTGAAGCTATATCAGCTCCTCTCCTGGTTCTCACATCTTCCATTGTCCTTCTAAATTTTTCGTCGATACAAACATGATCTATTTGGTTTTCTGTGGTGTGGTCTGGTGAGATCCATGTAGCTTTGTGTATGTGTTTGTGTAGAAGTATTGTTGATGTTTCTTTGATCCCTTTCCAGTTGTCCTCCATCTTAGTTTCTTCTTTGAGTCGATCTTGCTAGGCTTGGAACCTGTTGTTGAGAGCTATCTTGAATTTGTTGAGATTGTCAGTACCTAGATGGGAGTCTGTATTGAACCTTTGTAATGCTGTTTGTCCAGTTCTTTAGCCTCAGTTTCATTTTGGTAACCACCAGATGGTGATGTGAATCTATGTTAACTCCTCTCCTGATTCTCACATCTTCCTTTGACAGTCGGAATTTTCTATTGATGCAATTATGATCTATCTGACTCTCTGTGATGTGATCCGGTGAGATAGATCCATGTCGTATTGTGTATGCGTTTGTCGGGTTGAATATTGTACCACCTATAACCGATTTGTTGAATGCATATAGATTTGCAAATCTCTCATTATTCTCGTTCCTTTCTCCCAGTCAGTAAGTGTCATCCCATGGTATCTTCATATCCGACTTTGGCGTTTAAGTCTCCCATCAGGATGGTCAGGTCGTTTCCTGATCACTCCTCAGCGATCGTCTGCAACCTCATAAAACTGATCTTTACCTTCGTCATTGCTATCATTGGTGGTCGCATAAAACCAGATATCATTCATTGTAATCCTCTTTTTGTTTGTTTCGAAAGATGCTTTGATGATTTTGAATGCATGAGATTCCCATACTATAAATGCTTTACGTTCTCCTTTGAACAGCATCGGAGCAACTCCCTGGATGTGCGGAGAGTTTTCTTCATGACCAGAGTAAAGCAGCATCTCTCTTGTATCTAACCTTTGCTGTCAAGCTTGGGTGCGATTGGCTTCACTTGTTGCGAGCACCTCCAAGTTGTACTTCCTCATTTCCGTTGCTATTTGACTGATTGTTTTAATCTACCATAAACTGTAAAGTGTACTGAAATAGACTGAAATTAATTATTTTTGTACATTTTCATCGCTTCGGTATTTAAAATTTTACATCTCACCATTATTATTGCAATTGTTAATCTTAGATTTTGCTATCATGAGCGATTATCAATTGCTGGCAATTGTCGTATGTGTTTAGTTGAAGTGGAAAAATCGTTGAAACCTGTTGCTAGTTGTGCAATGCCTGTAGTCCGTGGTATGAGCATTAAAACTGATTCAGAAGTTACTCGTAAAGCACGTGAAGGTGTTATGGAATTTTTATTAGTCAATCATCCTTTGGATTGTCCTATTTGTGATCAAGGTGGAGAATGTGATCTGCAGGTAATTTGCCTTTTCTTATGTACTTTTGTGGTTGTGCAGTTGGTTAATTAAAATTCTAAAAATATGAAGCTACTTATATTTTTTAAAGTAGCAAAACTTTTTGCAACAAGATACTAAAGCGTTCTTATGGATTGATCTGACTTTTCTAAGCTAGAGACGGGTAGTATACTGCTGAGGTGTCCCAGGTTTTCAATGGTGGTCTAAATTTGGTTGATTCATGATCTCAATCAAAATAGTAAACCGCTTAGTTGTCACATTTCGGTCAAAGTTTATTTTGCGGTCGGTATTAATAATCCGATCTCATAAGCGCAATTGTCACTCAACCACATCACATCATTGAGTTCTATTTATCGACCAGTATTCTATTCACTCATTTTAACAACCTGAAACTCTTTTATCATCACAAATTTAAACAATCGTCTTTCGTCATAACAATATACTAAGATGCAGTAGCAAAATAAATAAAGTTTATAAAGGATTTATGTATGAATATTCAATATCCTCACTTCGTCCACTAATCTTGATTGCATTAAAACGGACTAATCAGTGTGTTCCAATTTAAGCCTGATTAGAGTATGGAATAGTCAGAACTTTAACTTGTTAAGAATATGACATTTTTCATTTTTTAAGAATAGAATCTGCACTTCACCAAATGGTTTAATATACTTTTCATTAATATGTCAGTGAAATTTGTTACAATTTTTTTTGTATGGTTTGCCTTTTATCTCAAGGATCAATCAATGAATTTTGGATCGGATCGTTCGCGTTTTGTTGATATTCGTTTCACTGGCAAACGGTGTGTGCACATTCTTACCTTTTTATGACAGTAATATTTTTTCCTGCATAAAATATTACTCGATTTAACCTTATTTGAAACCACGACTTGTGTTTAAATTAAAAGTAAACATTTTGAGCGTGAAGAGAACAATCTTTCTTAAGCGTTCAATAAAAGTTCGACAAATAGCATTTTCGAACATATTTTCGTTCATTTTGTAGGTAAGTGCTACATATAATAGTGTAATTTTTAGTGGAAACTTTAATTCATTGATTTAATGCTATCCACGTATTTCTTCTTTGAACATGTTACTGTGGCACATTCCAACTTGACGGATGAACTGTACTATACTGATAAGTGCTGACTACTTGTTTGGGATCTGTACAATTTGATAAGTCTTCTAATTGAACGCTAGATTTGGTTTCTAAGCTCTTCTAGTAACTCGAAGCTAAATCTACACAGCGACTTGAGCATGGGAGAAAAGGCACGAAATATAGGAGAAACACTTTACTCTAAAGGTTCATTTATGTACAGAAAATCTAGGGTTTTTTTGGCAGTTTAAATGACTTTGGGTTTCCAGAAAACTCTGGGACTCTACCAAACATAGTGGCTGTATTGGAAATTATCCAATCAGAAACTCAATATGTGACTTTTCACTTTCTAGATGTTTTTTGCAAAACGTCTATTCAATGCTGATTGGATAAGATTATTCTCAGCGTTTTTAAAACCTTTGTTGGTTTTTTTTGGGGGGAGTTTTCTGGATCTCTCCAGCACAATATTTATGACGTTGAGTGACACGACTAACGGTAGCCCGGATACATTCACTCTCTGCCTTACCTTAGTTTAGAGTTTTCAAACTAAACCAGACATAAATATCACTCATTTTATCAGAAAGGTGATATTATGGATAAGATAAGCTTACAGCGTGATTCGGATCTTTTAATTTAATGTCTGGTTTTATTTCCAAGTAAGAATCGTTTAACGATTGATAATAACCGGTTTCAACCAGTAACAAATAACATTTCATTGAAATGTATCCGATAGAGCGGAAGAAAATATCCTAGTTTGCCACATTATGCTACGATAATACGACATGTACCGGAGATCATAATACCACTACAGTGGGCACCCGCTCGACACTCTGTACACAGACTGGGATGGTTCAACTTAATTGCAAACAGCCTATACTTAGTAAAGTCCGGAGAAGTAATCAACAAAAGGAAATCATATACTGAATATTTACCTGAGTTCTACCTGTCCGCACTCAATGGCCAAGCATATTTTATTTCTACTGGTTACGCGTTAGTATCTTTTCATTACAGTTTTATACTTTGTCAGTATGATTAGATCTAATGTAAATCTGAATCATTCATCGTTTGTTTTTCTCTCTACAGAATTAACATTTGTAAATAGGATTATTTTATGTTTTTATTCAACCATGTACATAATTTCTTTATTTTTTAAATATTCATTTTATATAGTGCTGTTGAAGATAAAAATCTTGGTCCATTAATTAAAACCATTATGACTCGTTGTATACACTGTACAAGATGTGTAAGGTAAGAAATGGATTTATTCATTGCAATTTATACTGAAGCTTAGTTGAAGGGACTTTTGTAGAGATTAGTTTAATTTATAAATCAGAAGGGGTTTTGTGGAGATTTACTATTTTCACATTTGAAAGCGTGAGTCAATTGAAGCTAGACCACCATAGAAAACCTGGAAGCACTGGACGGCCGTTTCATCCTATTTGTCACAAATTGATTTGAGTTGGGATAATCGTTGAAAGATAGGGAGTGCTGAATAGATGTTTCATTCCGGTAGGAAAAACATTAGTGAAAAATTGCTGTCGTTTTTATGTGGAGGGTATGAATGAACTGATGTGAATTAGTTGCGTTAAATTATCAATTTAATTCTTTACGTTGATCAAATTGTTCACCTTGTTTAAGAATATTCTTTTCATTATTACTGGAATTTTAGTGATTGGACATTCAATGAAAGAATAACCGATGATCTCGTCAGCTTTTTATTGGAATAGTAAATGGATCACTGTTATGCCACCATTGGAAACCTGAAAGCACTGGACGGTCGTTTCTTCCTACCGTGAGACTCTTCAGCAGCGCGTCTACGATTCCGCGCGTGGGCTCGAACGCAGGACTTTCGGTCTCGCGCGATCACTTAACCTTTAGGTCTCTGAGCTGGCATCCAACGGTACTAACATCTAAATTCAATCATTTCAGTGCTTCCAGGCTTTCAGTGGTGGTCTAACATTGATCGGTTCATGACCTCAATAAAAACTCAACAATCTCCACAACCCTATACTGATAATCTTGTTAGCGTTTTTGATTTATAAATTGTTTCAATTATGAAACTGTAATAAGAGCGAAATTAGTATATATTTCTGTGTGAAATTTCCATTTCGATATCATTCGAACAAGACATTTGATAGAAATACTATGATAAATAAAGCTAATAAAATCTTCGAATTGGTTCCCTTCAAAACCTTAAACAAAGCAAGAACGACAATATTATTTCCATTTTATTTTGTTGCCTTTTCTTCGGCTACATGCAAGTTAATATGTTTAATTATCTTAAATTAGTATGATAATGTTAAATTAAATTGATAAGTGAAAAGCAATGTGTAGTGCAAAAGCAGTTAGGAAAGAATAATTTTGTAGTGGCTGGTCCTATGTCGAGCCCATATAGCTTATTCTAGCCAATTTATCCGTTCTTCTCAAGTTACATTTTGACCTTGTCAATTATTCGCTCATCAACCTTGATTTCTTTTATATGAGCGTGTGTGTGTCCCTTTCTTATCTCACTCACCACATGTCTGTAACTTATTTTTATATGACTATAAATATCGGTTAACGCTTGATTTAATGGAGTCGGCCCACACGCCTTCGCTGCACGTCATTTTGTTTCATTCTCTTCATCTTTCTGATTGCCTGTCTAGATCAATGATTGTATAAAATATACATATTCGAAATCCATTCTTCTATTTGACTTATTTAATTTCGCTATTCGCTAACGCGAGTTAAGTCGATAGCTATATACGAGGATTGACGATATATATATGTCAATATCAATCATTCGTACGATCCAAATGGAATCAGATAAGGGTCCCACAAAAGTGGTTAGCCCGTCGATAACATCGTCCGATCTAATTGACGTCAAAATGAAGTGCCCCACTAAGTTCTCTTAAAGTTTAACTCAACTTCCTTCACTCGACTTATAAATTATTTTTCAAAGTTGAAATCATGAGTCAATTGAAGCTAGACCACCATCGAAAACCTGGAAGCACTGGACGGCCGTTTCGTCCTACTATGGGACTCCTCAGCAGTGCGCATCCATGAACCCACTCTCGCGGGATTCGAACCCAGGACCTACCAGTCTAGCTTCAATTGACTCATGATTTCAACTTTGAAAAATACTGAAATCTCCACAAATCCCCTTCTAATTATAAATTATTATCAATCAAGTTTCACCTTATCCTAATAATTAGGAATAATTAAACATATTAACTTGTGTATGGCTGAAGAGAATACAACGAAATTCATTGAATTCATCGCATCATGTAATTAATGTTGTCGTCCTTGCTTTGTTGAAAAATCTCCGAAGATAACTATTCACAGACAATATCATCAGAGCAGATTGATTTAGGGCTTACGGAGTAATTAAACAACTGACTTCCATGTAAAGTAAACGTTGACTATGCTGTTCAGAATCACTACTAATGCCTAATTAGTAAGCTCTCACGAGCTTTGAGAATGCAACACAATCAAGAACGATTTTTTATTAGAATTATTCCAAATGATGTGTATATTACATCAGTAATTGTTAATGTTCATTTGTGTTTATAATTTGAATAAAATAGATTCGCCAATGAGATAGCTGGTATACCTGATCTTGGGACTACTGGTCGTGGAAGTTCTCTCCAGATTGGTACCTATATCGATAAACCATTCTTCAGTGAATTGTCTGGTAATGTTATTGATCTATGTCCCGTCGGTGCTCTTACTTCTAAACCGTATGCATTTACTGCACGACCTTGGGAGACAAGACGTATTGAATCGATCGATGTAATGGATGCATTGGGTGCAAATATTGTAGTCTCTATGCGTACAAATCAAGTTTTAAGAATAATACCAAGGTTGAATGAAGTTAGTTATGGGTTATTAAACGTTTTATTCTGAATATTAATGTATACTTTAAAAGTTATTACAGATGGCACCTCTTTTTACTGGCCCCGTTAAGTGGTTACAACTAGACATGCAACTAAAACTTGATTACCATAGTTTTAAATTTAGTGGACCAAAATGTTCCCATAACCGCTCATGTAGCTCTTCTACTGCCTGTTTCAAGCCCGAGTAAAAGAAGAGGATTGGGCATTGGGTCGGCAACCCCATCCCGTAGAAAAAAATCTTGCCAAAAAGACGCCAACCAGATTAAACAAATTAAACAATTTAGACTCTGCCCTCTGAGTTCAAGGAAGAATTATGACGCCTCATGATGAAAGCCGAGATTCGTCGGAAGTCAAGAAGCTTATGCCCCTTCTAACAACCATAACAATAATTAATATAGGTACATACAATGTTCAGAAAATGTGGAAGACAGGGGGGACCAGTCAAATAGCAACGGAAATGAGGAAGTACAACTTGGCGGTGCTCGTAACAAGCGAAGTCAATCAGACCCGACGTGGACAGCAAAGGTTAGATGCAAGAGAGATGCTGCTGTACTGTAGTAACGAAGATGAAATTGCTCCACATACTCAAGGATTTGCTCGAATGATGTCCAGAGAAGCACATAAAACACTTATAGTATGGAAATGTCTGAAATAGACTCTTTGTTATATGTGAAACTTGGATTTTTGCTATACCGCGTATAGTATGAGAACTCGAACGCTCCAGGTTTCAAGTTAGTAGACAGGAAACGACTGGGAATGAATCTCATTTTTACCAGTGTCAAATACAATACAAAACACTCAGGTATTTATAGTTTTTAGTAAAGACGAAATTATTATTACAATCATCCAATCCTCATGCAATGGTCTTTAGCATTTGTCCGACCGGAAAGCTACACGTCGAGATTCTATCATGTTCTTCAAAAAGCTGATTGAATTGAATGTCTTCGAATCTTTCGTAGCGTCCTTGAGTCTACTGAGGGCCGTCCCCACACTCTTCCAACTCAATTTGTACTTGAATTTTATTAATTGTAGTTAAGAAATGAGCAATGCAATTGACGTGATACTATGCAAAATAACAATCTCATTATAACAATAAATTAAGATTTTTGAAGCTAATCATCATAACGAACTGACTTCATCAACTAGAGAGCCACTGAAAATAAAAAAACTGAATGAATATTTCATCTTAGTTTAAAGTTTCTCATCGGTGCTGATCAATGTCCATTCCTCCAGGGGTTAAAGACAAAGTGCAACTATTTTTGTCGTAATAACTTCGCAGCTTACTCATAAGTAAGTAATTTCTTCTGGTTAAACGTTTTCGGTAAATGTCGAAATGAAAGAACGTACATAATATGTAGTCGTAGAGCGTGCATTACTGTTGGCCTGTAGTTTCAATATTGAGAATTTTCTGAAAATGATTGTAATAATACTTTCGAAAACAAAATTATCATTACTGTTTAGTTTGACTGTGAACATTATTTTCTTTTTCTAAAAAATATTCAATATACTATCTTTTTTTCTCCTAAACATCTCTTCAGGATGTGAACGAAGAATGGTTAGCTGATAAGTCTAGATTCTCGTATGATGGTTTAAGCAGACAACGATTGGTTGTTCCATTCCTGAAAAAATCTGACAAGTTAGGCGAAAGTACATGGGGAGATGTATTGGTTAAAATAGCGGAAAATTTGCTTCCTATACTTGGACCATCAGAAGAAATTATACCTCGAGCAAATCAGGTGGCTGGACTTGTCGGTCCATTTGCTGATGCTGAATCAATGATGGCATTGAAAGATTTAATTAATCGATTTAATTCTGAATTAGTTTGTACTGAAGAAAGTTTTCCAACCAATAGGTAATTTTGCAAGGTTTTTTCGGCAGTGTAATTGGTTAAAAGGAATTGGGAAATTTAGATCAAAATAGCTTCAAAAAAAGATATAGTCTAAGATTGTTAGTTTTCAACTATAATATTTTTCGAAGAAATAACAAAGTTTAACCGAAATCAAACATTGGGTACGTGGTAAAATATTAAATCATGAATAAATATACAATAATTTGCCGACTAATGGTATGCGGACATGCGTTACATGTGTACCTTCAGTTATTCTCCACACCGAAATGCAATGGTAATTGGTATAGCAATAGAGAAGAAAAGAGCTGACATAGGGAAAGTCAAATAAAGGCATAGAGTCAATTAGTGTTAAGTTGAAGTGTGTAGGAATGTACAGCTCCTCTACTTAAGAATCACAAGGTAATAGACTATCAACGATTGGAAGCTTTCAAAAACATGACGAAAAATTCAGTTACAGTAGCGTAAAATTATTCACTATAGACTTTTCAATTAAATCTTGAGTTTTCATTGTATTTCTTAATTTCACTACTTTTTTTTGAACTACCTACTTAGCATTTAGTTTTCACTTCATTTATCAAAAAACACTACTGCCGTTTTTCCCACTTACTTTTTAAAAATTATTAATCTTGTTTATTCCCTCCGGTTCACTTTACTTTTGTAGAGTGAAAAATTAATCTAATAAGTAGAGCCGAAGCGTAGATTTGTATCGTTTCAACTAAATTACAGATTAGTGTATGTTAGTGTAATAATAAGAGTAATAATCGGGGAAACAAAAATGTACAAGCAGAAGAACTCTTTCAGTTAAGGAAGTTATAATCTCTTTTATGGAGAAAGTAAAAGAAAGTTACAGTAGGATCGCCACTGGCTTCTATTCTGAGTCATATCTGATAACATCTCTAGCTAGTGTGTTGCACTATCTCTCGTACCCAACTAAATTACCCCACATATTAATACTGCCCAAAAATAAATTAGGAAAAGAATAGCACAGTAGTTGAAATAAAATTAATATCAGGAAGTGTAGCAACCATTTATAGGGAATATAATGTGTAGTTTTGAAAAAAATCAATAAAAGTTAGTGAATCAAAGCTTGAAATAATCTTAAAAATCAGTATCTTGTAAAGTTCAAGTGTTGGTTACTATATGCGATGTAACATGATGAATGTCATCCGATGGTTAGGATAGTAAATTTTATGTCTCCTCGATATTCACTAGTTTAGAGTTCTATCTCCTTACTGAAATTACGTATTTGGCGTAGGGATTTAGTTGATCAGTAATGTCTTTTAAGTAAAGGCTCACTATAAAATACTTTATTGGGTTGAAGCTTATGACAAACTGTAATCAAAAATGCATTTCCATTCCCACTTTTCATCAATGAAAAAATAATCGCGTAAGAATAATGTGATACAAATGTTTTGTAGCCTTATTATCTTAACGAAATAAAATTTAACATTTTAAACTGACATAATAGATGGAATACAAGACTGGTAGTGGTATTTAGGACGTATATTTCGTCCTATTTCAAAACTCACTATCTGGATGTTCCTGAATCTCAGAGTTAACATTCGTTTCAGGGCTTAAATCCTACACCTTCCGCTTTGACGTTGTCCCCCTAGCTCTTGAGTCCAAACAATCACTCTTTTTTTTACATATTATTATTACTAATGGCTTTATTAAATACTATATTTTTGGCACAATATAGAATTCTTAGCACACAGTATTTCAATAAGTTTCCTTTTCTTACTTCTTGATCGATCCTGACGAAAAGTATTGAGTGGTTCCCAGTTAGATGTTAAAAGTTCAGTAATCGACATCTGAATATTGTCCATTTTTTTCAATACATATTACCACCACTATGTCTCTGATCTTACTTTTTTGTAAGTTGTACAGCGAAAGGGCAAATAATAGACCCACATAACTCGTTCAAATATCTAGATATCAGGAACAGGTACCCCAGATATTCAAACAGACCTAAGACTAATCATAATTCAGTCAAAATATCAACAACGAGATATACCAGATCATTTCAAATCGAATTTTTCATCTAATATTTTGTATGAACTATTTATTAATTAATATCACTATTTCTTTATAAATTCTCTAGTACGGATCTACGTAGCAATTATTTATTCAACAGTCGTATTACTGGTATAGAAGATGCTGATCTAATATTACTAATTGGTACTAATCCACGTTTCGAGGCACCTTTGTTAAATGCACGTCTACGCAAATGTTGGATACATAACGATTTGGAAATTTGCCTATTAGGTCCCAAAGTTGACTTAACTTATGATTATGAAGTATGATTTAATGTTTTGTCTTATGGGATTTAAAAAAAAAAGAATTGTTATTGAATCAAAGTATTGTTGTGTAAAATCATTGTCGTTTAAGAACAATGTTCTTTACAACTTCATAATAACTACAGCATGTTATTTCCCCCCCATAATTTTTTTCAAAGTTTTGTAAATTTTCCTTTTACACCAGTTGATTATACACATATGCCTATCCAATATTTCTTAAAACCGTCTGTGGTTAATAGCTTTCCCCATTAGTCGATATTTATTAATTTATTTGATTATTTAAACACACAAATCTTGGTACAAGGAGGAATAGAGTATATATGCTCCACACTTCACCACTTGATTTTTGTGAGGGCTGGAAGTACTGCCCGGGCACCCAAACCGAAGCAGGTGGTTTTTTTAGTGGGCCACATCAAGCTTTTGACCTAGGGGTGTAATCCACAAGGAGTTCTTTTAGTTTATAAGACTTTGTTCAGGACATGTTTTAGCTTTTTCGTAGTTTGACAATTCTGCTATTACATAGTCATATCTCATCACTTTTATTGTCGAAACGGGAATTCAGCTAGTTTGAGCTATTGTCTTTCGTTAAAGTGTTTATTGGTTACTATCTCCTTGACATTCTTTTTTAAAATCGGGTTTACCTTTAGAAATTATTTGCTTCTGTAACTTGCTACTATAGATTGTTAGATACTAGCGTATATTAGGAGTCTTCGATAATTTGTAGAAAGTTTTCGGGAGCAGATCAGTACTGAAAATACTTTGACCGATCAGTGTTTTTATTATCCTGATAGGACAATCACCAGATTTGTCAGCAATTTTAGTATGATTTCCTGAAGTTTCTAGAATCTCATGAACACTTATTATCTAAATATCCTTGTTTTCTGGACATAAACTAACCTTAAAAGTATAGCTTCTCGTTTTTGTTCGTGATTCCAGAACAAAGTGCTTCTAGAAACTATGAAGTCGATTTAGTGTTTACTTATACATAATAAGTTCTCGTACAGTAGACAGTGAATTCTTAGTTTAGTTTTTTTTACTGGTCATATTCATTCCATTCCGTTTTTTTGCTTCGTTTCATCTATTATCAATTTGGGATTCTTATAATTACCAATTGAACTCACCAGTATTATGCTTCTAAAAGGAATTGTATACCATAGTAGATTGTATACACCTAGTGTAGTGAATAGAGTAAGTCATATCAATCATCAGAACTCGGTCAATGTATTACGAGCTCCTATCAATTAATTAATTAAAAATATTCAGAATTTTAAATGGAGTACTCTGACTGCAATCATTAATCTTTGATCTCTACCAAAAGATTGTTTCATGATAGTGATTTGATCAAGTTCATATTTTGATGTTAGTGTACTGATTTTCTTGTAACTGGCTTCACTTGAGGGCAACGTTTTACTCAGATGTAAGAGGACTAAAACGTTTCTAATAAAAATTGGATCGATAAATATGATATGTCTATCTAATAGAATTGAAAATTCTTAATTTTAAATCAATGATGGGAACTAGCATTAGGTTCTCAGGAAAACTAATAGTCTATGAACGTTGTCGATTACAATTTTAGGTGAAACCTTGTGAAAAGTTAGCCGTCTTCAGTCTCCGTGCGCATTTTGTATGGTTTGTTTCCTTTAGCTATATTGTACTAATTATTTTTGTTTTAAGTTTAACATCGAATATTTGACGAGTGGTAGAATATAATCTGTTTGTTTACTTCAGCAATCACAATGAAGTTAATCCTCATTCTTTAATTTTTTTTTGTAACAATCGTTCTAAGTTTATATGAATAGAGGACTTCCTGTTTAAAAGCATTACTTACTTACGCCTGTTACCCCTCGTGGAGCTACAATAAATCTAATTCTATTTTTTATCCCTTCTTATTTCAGCATCTTGGTGATCAACTTGAAACTTTACAGTCTTTAGCTGCTGGTAAACATCCATTGAATAAAGTAAGTTTCTTTTAAACTTAATATTATTTTGAAATGTTTATCCATCTTACTTTCTAAATTATAGAATAATCACTTCACGTGTGTAATAAAGTCATTTTCAGGTTGGAATAGTTAATCACTTAATTGTACTAAATATTGTCAATCAGTTATCAGCAACATAGATTCTGGGATATATGTACATCATCTCAAATTACCATACTATATATCAGCACAGCGAGATTAAATTATCATGAGTAGTCTTATAAGGAGTAACAATATCAATGGTAGCAGAATCGTTTACCGCACGGATAATACGATTGGTGAATAAAGAATGGATTCTTGGAACGAAGATTATGAAATAATTTCAGAAATTAAGATCTAAGGGAAAACAAATTGTGAATGCTTCAATATCATTGTAACGGATTCTTAATTACGTCACCTACCTTCCCCTACATTAGCTGACCATAATTGTGTGGACCTCAACGTAAAACTGTACTGAATGACACGACCTAATAGAAACATATCACTCCCAAATGCCCTAGTACGGCCGACAGTGGGGAGAGTCCGCTCTCTCGAAATGTTCTCACATGGCCACGCGTATACAGCCACTGATAGGGAATTCCTACACTCTGCCTTCTCGTGGCGGGGGTGTTCTTCACGAGGTTGAAAGAACGAAAAGCGAATATCTGGCACTTTAACCGGGTCGGTGGACACGGATAGTCCACCTAGGAGAGTCAGAAAATCCTGATTTCAAACCAATGGTGCACATGGGTTCCAGTATCATGAGGGAACAAATGACATATGAACTTATTGTTGGTCACCGGCTACCATGGGACTGCATCTCCTGTCGTTACTCCACTGCCTTGTGGATCAGACCTCTAGGTCAAAGGTTCGGGTTGTGGCCCCCTAAGAAAATCACCTACTTCGGTTTGAGCACCCGAGCAGCATCACAGCCCACATACAAATCAAGTGACCTGTGTGGCGCATATGTATTGGGTGACCCTTTGTATCAATATTTATGTGTTCAAATAAGTAAAATAAATAATAAGAAACATCAGTATACTGAATCTCAGTTCACATCAAGAAAACTAGATTTTGGTTCTTCCAAACAGTATAATTTTCACCCACATTTCCACATACCTTGGTCTGAAAACTACTAAGAAACATTTAAATAAGTGTCTAAAATTTTCCTTTCCATTAGACTGAAACAAGTGACATCATAAACGCTGAACTTTGCCTAATCATATTTCCTAAATTAGTGATTGTTCTGTGCTTTGTGAATTGATAAACTTCAAATCCAACCAACCCTAACTTAAAATCCTGAATGCAAAAGGAAAAGAGGGAGACTAAAGAACACATTGCTTCGGCAATTGGAGGCAGACTTCAAAAAATGGATAACAGTTGGAAACAACTGGAAAGGAGAGTCCAGGACAGAGTTGTCCGGAGAATCATGATGGGCAGCCTATGCCCCTCCATGAGGTGTAACAGGCGTAAGTGAAGTGAAGTACTAACCAGTTAATACCACAATATCAAATACATCAGTACCTCATTGAAATCTTTAATTGGTCTGATTTAGAAAACCGCTGAAAACCTGGAAGAGCTGAACGGTCGTTACGTCCTAGTAGTCGACCTCTCATCAGTGTGCATCGAACCCAGGATCTTCGGTCTTGCATGTAAACACCTAACCTTTAAACCACTGAGCACCTAGTTATCTCTCCAGGTATCACTAATATTTGTACGTTTGTGATTCTCATACTATTTAATTATTGTTCTCTTCACTTCGCAATCTATCTTATTTTTGAACTTACTACTTTACTAATTTTAAAGCGTTTAAATTCTTCGTCTCACCCAATAATAATTTTGGGTAGTGAATGTTTACAACGTAAGGATGCAGCAGCAATTCATAATGCTGTACGTCGAATTTCCTCCAATTTGAAAGAAACAAAAAAATTGGACCATCAAGTGTTCAATGTTCTTCATCGCGTAAGCGTTATTTTCTTGTGGTTCAATTATCCAATAATACATCATGACTGTCGCTTTCACTTTTTTGTTATTTATTTCAAAATTTATGCTTTTAATCTATTCCTATTTCGGGGTGTAGTGGAAATTGTTGGATTTCACAGTTTGCATCATGAACTTATCTTAGATAACCGTTGAGAACTGAGAAGCAATGAATAGCTGTTTTATCCTGACGTGAAACTCCTCAGAGGTTGTATCCATAACCACATCGCAAATCAAACCCAGAACATTCAGATCTAGTGCCGATAGCTTTACTTTGAGTTTACTGAGTTAAAATCTAGTAGTTTGTATACATCATGATAGTGTTACTTTCTTTAACCTAGCTGGTTTATTCGCAGAGTTTTTATTGTTCTTCTGAACAGAACCTTCAGCGCCTACTTTTTACATAAAAGCCAGCTTTTTAGTTATTCCTTAGTGTTATACCAGTTCGTTGGAATGGTCTTGTTTGTGGTTGACTGTCTTTGTAGATTATGTTCTCTTCATTTGCCTTTACACTTTCACTAACCGTCTTTATTGGTTTACCTTTTTGCCTCTTCCTCATAGCTTCGTAGATTGTATCTATGTCAATATGTCTGTAGATTGCTAATTGATTTAAATGCTTACTTCGGAAAATTCTTCGACATTCCTAGTGTTTCACCGATCCGGAATTTTGATGTCTCTCCAATCAAATTCACCATCATGGTTACTTGTGTACATTAATGTCATTAGTAGTATTTGATGTCGTCACAATGCTGACCGAAGTTCATGTATCCTTCGGTTAAGGGGCTATACACTTTACACGTATGTATGTATTTATTACCTTTCAAATGGACTACTGAGTAACATATTTTCCCTTTGTACCATTCACTTCTATTTCAGAATGCAAGTCAAGTTGCCGCCCTAGACTTAGGTTACACATCAGACATAGAAATAATCAAACAGAACAAACCAAAAATTCTTTTCCTTCTGGGTGCTGACCGTAATCTCATTACACGTCAACACTTAGCTTCCGATAGTTTTATAGTTTACATTGGTAAGCTGAAATAATCATTATGATTTAATTTGATTTTTCATAGCATAGGTGAATATCATTTTATATAGTAGTGACCAAAGCATATTATATAAAATCATCGATCGTAATACTTTGAGTTCTTTCTGGCATTATGTTTATCCGGATTGTGATCTACAAGATAATCGTATCGTTGGTGGTGATACGGCTCGTAATCGGTCTCTATAACGTTTACACATATCTAAATAAATTATATATTTGTAATATCCCAATGAGTACACATATCGTTTTTCCTCTATCAACTCTAAATCATGAGTTTTAAAAAATATTATTTTGTACGTTCCGCCTCATGGTTAGCTTTCACTAAGATGTTTGTTATGTTAGCTGTACGTTCAGTGTTTGAAGATATATAGCATCTCCCCTACAATTAAGTTTGTTTGCGGTTGATATTGTCAAGCCCTTCAATTTAGTTATTTAACAAACAGTGTTATTCTGAACAGTATCTATCTTTGTATTAATGCGGTTATCACGGTGATTTATGTAAGAAGCCGAAGGAATTATCTTGAAACCAAGCTAATACAGGTAATCAAAATTGAAACATTGAATCTAGGTTTTGTGTCACTTGCCCCTCGTAGATAGAGATGTACCTTAGAATCTTTAAGAAACTAATTCATCTTGCTTAAATCGAAGCTATCACCTAATTCAAGAAACGTTTTCCTATGGTAAACAATAATTCATTTATTGCTGAGCAAATGACTTCTCCTATATTATTCTCTTTCTTCATATTCACTATAGGTCATCATGGTGATGCAGGTGCATTATTAGCTGATGTCGTTTTACCTGGAGCTGCTTATACTGAAAAAGATGCTATTTATGCTAATACCGAGGGACGTGCTCAACAAACTCGATTAGCCGTAGTTCCACCTGGACTGGGTCGAGAGGATTGGAAAATATTTCGTGCTATCTCTGAGGTAGTCGGTGTCACCTTACCCTATGATGATTTAAATCAAATTCGTTCGCGAATTAGTCAAGTTGCTCCTGGTTTATTAGATTTTAATACAGTTCAACCATCACTCAAAGAAGTTCAAACACTGGCTGATAATTTATCCAAGGTAATTTATAGATTATTGTTTCAATCCCTTTATAAATTTTAATATGTATTATGTATTGTGACGTGTGAGTTTAATAATCATACGCAATCTCCATATACACGAGTCGAGACCGTGTAATCGAGTAAAAGACCAAGCGTAACAAGGAAGCCTTTACTGGCCAACCGTTTCAGGGGTATATATATATCCATTTCTCGGCCAATCACATGCATTTATCATTTGTCTAATTTCTAATTAGAACAATATTTAATTATAGTTCCTATAATAATAATCCTGTCAACTATTAATTACGGTCTCAGAGATAATTATTTTTTCATGAGTGATATATTACGTCTATTGATGCATGTACACAAATTGACACCATATAAACATAAAAAATTATCTTCAATATTATTTTGTCCTTCATGTGCTTACTAACCCCTCGTGGATGATCATAGGTCACCCACCAGCATTCTCCATCGCTTATGTATTGTAAAGTAAATATTACTCTTCAATAAAATATTGGATAAGTAAATCTTCTCATGGTATAAGATTATCACTTTCTCCCTTAACAGTAATGTAGTAACAATCTAGATGTTAGTATTGATTTCATGAATTTTAACCTCTGATGTAAACAAGACTTTTTTCGAGTCATTCAGTTACATTCTGGATAAAGAATGCTAAGAAATATTCAGTCTGTTAATCTTTTCTAGCTATCACATTTTATTTACACTTATATACATATGTATCAAATAAGTAACTCTAGAGTTCTTTTTAGATATCTGATCTTATTTAAATTAATGTCAATGATCTTTAACTTTGATTCCAATTCCTTAATAATACAATTCTATTCTTTTCTTGTTTAAAACTTCGAGTACTCTGAAAAACAAATTTTCCTTGTAAGGTTTAGTTGCTAGAATTCGAATAATATTGATTAGATTGAGTAATACATGTATACGATAATATATAATGATTTTAAAGTGAAGAAAAAAATGGCAAACTAGAATAACTGAGGACTGATTAAAAAAAATATTGTCTTTAACCGAGATGAAAATGAAAGATGTTTGAAGTGGAGCAATTCGTCTTGATAAATTGTAAATACATATTAACGAAATGATCAGTAAGTAATTCGTTTCCTGGATATTCAACATGCTTAGAAAAACCTTGTGAGTGGGTAATATAAAATCCTTTATTTATTTTACTTATTTGAACACAAATATTCGTACAAAGGGGCATATGATACATATGCGCCACACAGGTCACTTGATTTGTGTGAGGGCTGTGATACTGCCCGGGTGCCCAAACGGAAGCAGGTGGTTTTCTTAGGAGGCCACATCTCGAACCTTTGACCTAGAGGTCTGATCCACAAGGCAGTGGAGTAACGACAGGAGATGTAGACCCATGGTAGCCGGTGACCAACAATAAGTTCATATGTCATTTGTTCCCTCATGATACTGGAGCCCATGTGCACCATTGGTTCGAAATCAGGATTTTCTGATTCTCCTAGGTGGGCTTTCCGTGTCCACTAACCTGGTCAAAGTGCCAAACATATATATATATATATATATATATATATATATATATATATATATATATATATATAACTCAGTGATGGACAACTGGCTTAGATTTACTGCTACAAACTGATTTATTATTTTGTTAACCAAGAAATAATAGACTTCGTTGCTTTTGAATAATCCTTTTGTTTTGTCTATTTTTATTACATTACACAGAGTCCATTAAATTCAATTCAAACAATGAATACAAATGAATCAATTAAACTTAGTTTATTAACATTAAAAGATTATTATATTACAGATTGTATTAGTCGAGCTTCTCAAACTATGGCAAAATGTGTGAAAGCTGTACAAGAGAATGAATAAACATCACAAAAGAAAACTATCAATCAACTTAGCAACAATTAAACATTCATTAAATTTGTGTTTCCTTTCTGTTTTCTTTTCTTTTCTTTCTTCACTCCAAACAAAAAGTATCTGTATTTTCACAATTTTCAAGGTGTAGAAGTTTTTTAAAAAAAAATAGTTATTCTGAATTTCATATAAATACATCTTTACTGATAAAATCTCTTTTTAATTATATTCTGATCAATGAGTATGACTGGCAGTGGAATCCAGGACACGCGTTTTGTCCTATTTGGGACTCGTCGGCTGCATATACCTGCATTTCAGAGTTGATGTTCACTCTTGAACTTGAACCCAGTATCGTTCGCTTCAAACACCATCTCGTTATCCACTGAGCCACTTGCTTATGCAATGGGGTAAAGTTTAAATCCACTTAGTATTGTTTGTCTGAATCCCCCCATTAATGTTTAGGACTGCAACTGGTCAGTCTGTAATTGGCATATGTGCATACTGTGCGTATTGCCTCGATATAGCCTTAATTCAGGTACATCCAGCTGACGAGTCCCAAATAGGACGAAACGCGCGTCCTGGATTCCACTGCTAGCCACTATCCATCTTTGTTTACAATGCTTGTGAATTTAGGTTATATCGAGGCCATACGCACAGTATGCACATATGCCAATTACAGACTGACCAGTTGCAGTCCTAAAAACATCAATGGGAAGATTCAAGCAAACAATACTAAGCGAATGAGTATGACTGTTTTCTAAATAGATTTATTCACATTTAACTGTGAGAATCGCCTTGTTCCGTTCACTACCGTTGATTTCATATATTAGTGTTTTAGTGCTTCAACGTAGTTGACTTTTTCAAATCTACTTACCTTGTATGAATTTACAACATTCCCCCTACTTTATATCATTAGGACTGTAGAATACCATCTATACAGTATGCTGAAAGCATAATTACGACTAACAAGACATGTTATATACTCCTAATGTGCAATTCAGATTTAATAGTGATTTCTATAGACAAACTTATGGAGTTACAAAGGGTTCCCTACTAGTTCCTCTCTTGACTGATTGTTGCATGACCAATCTGGTATATACTGTACTTCGATCAATATTTGAGAGATTTCATTCATATCAGAAATATATGGACGATACTTTCATGATTGGTGGAGAAGATATGAACCTCATTGGAGTTTCGGATCAGTTCAAAAAATGTAATCATTTGACTCAATTCACAGTAGATGAAAAGGTAAACGATAAACATCACTTTCTTGATGTGCGGATATGAAGGTCAGATGGTTCTTTACAGAGGTCTATATATAGAAAAGTGACCTGAACAGTTAGAGTGAAAAGTGTCTTTCGAAGAATCGATGTTCACCGGAATATGCTACATAATACCAGCTGATCTAAATTTATTAGGTCTAGATTGTTTGGACCAGCTGCAGCGATGTAACATTCCGCTAAGTACCGTATGCCATCTGGGATAAGACAATCCCTTGAATCGGAACCATATCGTCTCCATCGCCAACATTAGTTGGCACATAACACTGGGTATCGTTTATTGTAATACCCTTTTTGTTTGTTTCGAAAGATGCTTTGATGATTCTGAATGCATGAGATTCCCATCCTATAAGTTCTTTTCGTGCTTCTTTAGAAAGCATCAGAGCAACTCCCTGTGTGTGCGGAGCGTTTTCTTCTTCATGACCAGAGTACAGCAGCAACTCTCCGAAATCTAATCTTTTCTATACAGCTTGGGTCCGATTGGTTTCACTTGTTGCGAGCACCACCAAGTTTTACTTCCTCATTTCCGTAACTATTTGACTGATCCCCGTCTTCCACATTTTCTGGACATTGTATGTACCTATATTAATTATTGCTGTGGTTGTTAGAAGGTATATCGGCATCGTGACTTCCGACGAATATTGGCTTTCAGTGTGAGACGTCATAACTCTATTTCATGAGGAATCTTCAAGTCGGACGACAGAGTATAAATGGTTTAAGTTGTTCTTACTGGTTAGCGTATTTTATCAAGGTTATTTTCTACGGAACAGATTTGCTGACTCCACTCCCAGTCCTCATCCTTTACCCGAGCTTGGGATCAGCAGTAACTCTAGAAAAACAATAGGCGGAGTTTTGAACACGTTTTTCTGACATTATATGCATGAAAGACTCAACCTTTCGACAACATAAGCATGTACCGGAAAGATCTTGAATCAATCTTCATCTAAGCACCAGGTTCAAACATTAGAAAAAGTATACTGAGATCCCTAGATAACTCAACGGTAAAATTATCAGAAGTCAGGTAATTGCAAAAAATAGTCAGACCAATCGGTGTCTGCCACAAACTTCCTTTCCAGGGAATATGGAAATTTAGGAAGTTAGTGTCTAGGCGTTTAACAAACATTACAAGGGAATATTAACAACTAGTCTACCGGAAACAAGGAGTTGAGAGATTTTCGACCATGATAATATGGGAGTGTGTACAGTGCAGCTTTTGCAGACCACCATACTTAATCATCTGAATTAAATACATTTCTTTAACGAATGAGTTATTGATTTGTATCCTTTTCTCAACTAATCGTTGCACTGTATAGATTTTAAATTAATTAATGCAATACGCAACAAAGCAAATGTGGTTCAGTTTTTCAGCCACAGAATCAAACTATTATGTTCTGAGAATAGTGTAGATGGGGAAATAGGTAAACTAAAGAATACATTACGTAATAACGACCATTCAGATATCTTTGTCAAAAAAATATCTATCAAGATGGAAGAATAGGACAAACTCGAACACAGTCAACAAGAAAGCCTTCTAAATAAACACGTTGGCTTTTATTGGAAAAACATTTCACGTCACCAAGTTACCAGTAATCTCAACTAAACCAATAACTACAGAACGTAGCAAGGATGAGATACCGAAGACTCCCTCATTTGTGCATCTATCAATTTAACTGTACTCGTGGAGTCAGTTACGTAGGCTATACTTGGAGTGGTCTATGCCTGTGTATCTGTAAACATGTACTGGAATGGTTGGGAAAAAGTGTCATGAAATCTAGTAACAGCCCCACTATTTCTCACTTAATAGATGGTGAACATCGTATTGAAATAGATTACACACATTAAAATTGTATCAAAATTTCGATAGTGTAATAAGAAGACTTAGTAACCTATATGTAAAAGATATATATGAACACAGAACTCTGACACGGCTGCGGAATATGACGATTATACGTGATGTTTATCCTATGGCAGGATAACATCTAGCCTGAAGACATTTTATGTGCTTAGGAGAGTATGTAAGAGAATCTGTGGGAGGGAAATGAACAGAAAATATGGTTGAACAACTTAGCAGATACATAAGATTCATTCACATTTTACAATGCATTCAATCAACAGGCATTAGCAATAACATTAGCATAAGATTCAGATAATCTGAAATAGAAGTCGATCATGTGAGATTTGGAAGTCGTTGCACATATATGGCTCTGTGATATTCGTTTGGATTCCTTTTTGATTATGATACCCTGATTGGATTTCTTTATTTAGCAGTGATAGTTTTAATTCACCAAATATGTCAGAGGTTTTGTCTATTGAAATATGCTCAGTTAGCACTAAGCTATTGACTGAATGAGATAATCAGTCCTATAACTTCTGGTAGAGCTTCGTTCTCTGATCTGGATGGTTTGGTTGTAGAGCTTCTGTCGTTCTTCTGAACAGCTTCATCAACACAAAATTCAGGTAGAAGTGAAGTGTCCGAATTCCTCCACATATGACACACAGCTTGTCCTGTAGACCTCGATCTTGATTGGTCAGGTTTGTGCTGATGATGTTGTTCAGAAGAAAGATGAAAGCTCCACGACCAAACCATCCAGCTCAGAGAACAAAACTCCATCAGAGTTATCCACCTGAGTAACAAATTTTCCCCATTCTCTTCTATCACTTCACTTGTTGTCTGTGTGATATCGATTGGTTCTGCTATTATAACTCTAAGTACTTAGTAATAGCATGTTAAATGAACTTAGTTGAGATCTAAATGATTGCGTTCAGTCATTGAGATCATTACAAATATAATGTTCACAGAAATTCAATCTCTTCATGTGCATTATGTCTCACATCATGACAAACGTGTACAAAGTGATCATTTTGTTAAATGCTAAAGTAATATCTATTTTAATATAGCACACTGCACATTATCGCATATTCAGTGTTCAAAAATTGTCCTAAGGTTACAAACGTTTTGCTGTCGACATCAGCTAGCCTTTTATCTTGCCATGGTTTATTCCCTTTATTCGCCAAATTTATGTCCCGTGAAAAATCAATTATTTAAATTCACTTAGTAGTTTGTTTGAATCTTCCGATCGATGTGTTAGGACTGTAACTGATCAGTCTCTAATTGGCATATGTGCATACTGTACGTATTGACTCGATATAGCCTTAATTCACAAGCATGGTAAGCAGAGATGGATAGTGGCTAGCAGTGGAATCCAGGACGCGCGTTTCGTCCTATTTAGGACTCTTCAGCCGGATGTACCTCCATCTCATAGTGAACATCAACTCTGAGTTGGAGGTACATCCAGCTGTCGAGTCCCAAATAGGACAAAACGTGCGTCCTGGATTCCACTGCTAGCCACTATCCATCTCTGCTTAATCAATTATTTTCCTATTCTTTATTTGTAGAGTACATTCATTCCAAGTGAATACTGTTCTCAATTTATCTCCTCCTCCCTTAATTAATCAAGTCATAACCAAATAGAATGTGTATAACATCGGCATTTTATGATCATTAGGTGTGTTAGACTACTGATGATGATTGTAATTTTTAATATCTGGATGAAAAGAGGAGATCACGTGATTTAATGAACCAATAGAATTCATTCATTTTAAACTTAGTTTATATATGTCTGTCATACATCTATTAAATTCGATAATATTCTATTAACTAGCCTATATTTTATCGAGTACATTGTTGAATTGTTTGTTGGATGATCAATATGAAGGAATATCATGCATGAATCACTTTCCATGTACTTGGAAGTAACATTTACATAGATAGTCAACAAACAAAAAAAATACACATTGATTTCATTACTAATATATACTTAGTGGTTGCCCAACATAGTGGAATTTTGTATACTATCATTATTTTTCAACAACTTGAACTAATGGTGTTGATTTCTGTTTAACCCGACAAATCAAATAGGAACACTTCCATTTTAGTAAGTTAAAGAATAATTTTTTTGTAACCTACATATATATTCATGTCGCTTTTTGTTGAATAGAGCAGAATGATTTTTCTCTGATGATATTTCCTAGTTTATAAACTTAAAGAACAAGCGATAGATGAATTGGGTAGTTGAAGACTGCGAAATGGTGCGTTTTGTTATTAGGTACCGTACGTGAATAAGTTTATCAGCTAAGTTGATTCCCATAAAGAATGCTGAATAACTCTGACTGTTTTATGAAAAGTAGAATAAACTACCTCTAAATAATCGTCTGGTCGTCTGGTTTACTATAGTTATATAGAATGTTTGCTGAGTTTCGTAAAAGTGTAGGGAGTTTGTTAGCAGAATTTTGAGTTTTATAGTTTGTCTGATGAACTGATGTTAGAGGACGACTGAAATCCAGGAATAACTGAACAGCTGTTCCATCGTTGTATGGGACTGAGCAATACGCATCCACAACGCTTCGGGGGTTGAACCCAAGATCGTTCAGTTCTATGGTGATTGCCTAGCATTTAAACCATTGAGTCTCATACTACGATAAAACATCTGTTCAGTATTTCCTGGTTTTCGATGTCTGTCCAATGAAAGTCACCTCCTGACGTATGCTATGAAAATGATAAGATTTGAAGGTCATCTCTGTCACGGATTGAAATTATCTGTAAAACTGTTAAAAATTGTGGAGCACTGGACAATTATTCTACCCTAGTTTCAGACTCATCAATAGTGCACACTTATGATTTATAATTGTACGTTGGTTTATTAAACTGAAATCCAGTTAAGTGAATGAACTTTGTCTGTATTATACTACCAAGTAAAAATACCTCATTGGTTCATGTACCATTATTGCGTAACACAGTATCTGATCACATAGAATTCCAAGTGTGCACTGTGATGAGTATTTGTGTGGTAATCAGCGATGTTTGTTGAAATCAGACTTCCTATAAGAGCGACATATGGTTACCATTTGGATTTGCTTATGAATGACATGTTTCCTGCACTATCTTTAAAATTCTTAAAGTTTTCTTACGAATAGTTCGTGATGTGAAACATATAGATTATTTACAGATTGTGTATTGAATTTATCTTGACCGATTTATTTTCATATAAACAGCACTCAGTGTTTATGATGTTATGTTCTGAACATAAACTGTCTAAGCAGCAGTCAAATAATGTATTTTATTGAGTTTGGTAAGTTATTTGAACAAAGTCGTCCTCCTTAAATACATTCCAACTGCCTAAATTTCTTAAAATAAACTTGGGAAACAACCAGTGGTTTGGAGTGCTGTTTGAGTTATGCGGGCAGTTTTCACTTCACAGTTCCCACACTATGAAAGGGTTCTTCTTGAGATATCTGAAAAGGAAATTGGGTTAGAGTTGATCTTAATGACTTCGCACTCACACCTTAGGTTTGCTGCTTTTAGTCTTACCACTCTTCAACCAACCTATCTGACATGGTAGGACCTTGGGGAACGATTATTCCAGCCAGTATAGCTCGATTGGTTCATCACGATAGGCAAGCTCGACCACCACGTCAAGGTAGCAATGACGGTTGAGTAGGGAAAAAACCGCATTGAATTAGACAATGTAACGAAATAGACCACTTTGTATGGTTAAGTGAGTATTTTATCCATTATCTACAACTATGAAATTCTAAATAGTGAATTACTTTGAAATGTACAAGTAGTTTACTTCAAGGGATTGTAGTCTCTGAATTTAACTTGATACTATGAGATAGTCGCAAATTAGTTATTGTAAACTATAATCATGTTTGTGGGTTGTGTTCATCACAGATTAAATTCAGCGAAGGTACCATTGAAAATATGTCTCCTCTGCTGCTGAGATGTTCAGAGATAGTATGGTTGAGGAGTTGTCATTACTCAACACAGACAACTGGTGATTGAGAATGATGGGGATATCGGGTCCCAGTCGTAATCGGCAGAGAGCAAGAGTACCTAGATCCAAGATCTGGTGTTCACTCCATGACTCTAACACAATATTGTTCGTTGCAAGTGCCATCGCGTTATCTACTTAGACGAGTCCATATAGCCACTCATTTGTGCATCAAGTGTGAGATTTAATTCAATTTGAAATACATTAGATCATCTCGTTAATATTCTAACTGAAATTTGATCAGTCTTGGTTGAGATTTGTGTATCATGTGCGGATTGTCTCAAAATAACCGATATAACACTAGTTGATATAGAATGGATGAATGTGTATAGCATGACTAGTATTAGTCGTTTCTGACTGAATACTGGATTTTTATTTAAATTTGAGTGTTCTAGATAATCCATCGTGTTCATGTCACTTCACTCATTATTATGAACTAGGTTAGGGAGAGATCGAAGTTTCAAAAAACCGAATTGTTGGCTATTAGAATATATACTGTGTTAATTTTAAACATGTATTTCTGAGAAAATTCCATGAAACACTTTTACTTCAGTAGCAGAAGCCAGTACCGTGTTTACTTTTTTAGGATAATCGCCGTTTGTTCGATATTCATGATTAGAGGACTGAATTTCTTAAGTTAGAAAACCAATATGCAGTGTCAAATTTTCGTAGAGCAGTTTTATGTAAACCGTGAATTTGTCCAATATTTTTACTGATCTAGAAAATGAATATTCTTAGCATGAATTCATACATCAGTTTGATTCACGTTCATTGATCTTGCCTCAATGTTAAGCTTTTAGCCTAATTTTTCGGGACAGTACTAAAGTTAGTCCAGCAGTATGAATTAAGCATTGATTGAGTATACTGGAAACAAAGAATGGATCGTGTTTAAGTTGAATATAGTATTCTAGTTAATGATGGTAAATTTATTGATGAAGTCGGTAACTTTTATCAATATTTATGATCGGAATTTATATTCTATGTCAGTCAGACAGTCAGTCACAACGTAGAACTTCGTACGTACGTACATCAGTTCGAGTCGTCATACCACATTAACACAGAGATTCAGTCGTCGATTCAAATCCCATAGTGGTAGAAGTAGTAAGAGTATAAGCATTATGTGAAAGATTAGGGTTTGAAGATGTTATTGAAGGAATATAATCCAATGAAATGAATTTGGAGAGAGAAAAAAGATAGAGAATGAAGAAGAAGAATTCAGAAGATTAGAATTTGGCAGAACACAAAAAGTGGATGCACTTTCGCCATTGCAAACGATTTTGAGCCATGTCATTCAAGGTCTCTAACCATCGATTGCTTAGTGGTCTTGAGTGCTGTTAGAGGTATGAGGGCAGTTATCACTTCCCGGTCGCCCACATCGTGGAAGGGTTCTTCTAGAGGTGCCTGAAAAGGAAATCGGGTTAGAAGTGGTCTTAATGACCTGAGAGCGTGACCGCAGTGCCCAAGGGACAACTGCTTGAGGTCGGTCACACACGATCTTTTTGTGGGTAATTTTTATGTTAGCTCCATACTTGTTGGGACCTTACCGCCGGAGACGGATATCAGTGGGATACGGCAAGGTGTGTGTTTTTAGGGTCGACCTTTTCTAACTCCACCCCTCCTTGTGGGGAAGGCAGCATTGCTGTCATGCTGGTTGTCTGCTTTCACACCTCTGTACAGTCAGCAGTACGACTTCGCCTTCGTACCTTGGGTTTGCTGCTTTTAGTCTTACCGCTCTTCAACCGACCTGCCTGGCATGGTAGGACCTTGAGGAACGATTATTCTGGCCATTATAGCTCGATTGGTTCATCACGATAGGCAAGCCGGACCACCACGTCAAGGTAGCGGCAACGGTCGGGGTTGCTACCATCTCGCGAATCCCAACCAGATAGTTTACACCTACCAACATGGCTCAGTCCAATTGTCAGTGACTTCATGGATTTGTGCCACGTTTTGGTCTGTAGTATAGGAGTATAGTGGCAAACTGTTAGGATGATCTAGAGCAGTGTAAACTGTTAAAATGAGTCATGTTGAGAGCTGCCAAACTATTGGTTGGAGTTCACTGAATAATCGTGATTGATGGTTGAAGATTTCGATGCAATTGGATTCATTTGTTACTAACTTTCTTTAAACTTCCAGTTTCTACATAATTGTACACTTCTTATTCTTTCATTTCATATGCTCTTTTTGAGTTGCACTTTCAATATCTACCTTTCAAATACCGTTGACATTATTACTATTTAATTTTTTTTCCTACATTCGTCCTGTGAATTTGACTTCTTCATGTTGATGAATTGAAGTATGGCACTGTTTAGAATGCTGAATTCTCAAATACTACATTTAGCTAGAAATCAATTTTTAAAATCACATATCGATCCAAATTGAACTTCGTACATTGACTGCCAGTGTGTTTTAAATTGTATTCATTTACTCAATCTGAAGTTAGTATGTTTTGTTTTTTAACTCATATTCATTGTATCCATTGATATACTGTGATTATGTGTTCAAGTGACAGTTGCTCAGTTTACCAAACTCTGTAATTATTAATAATTGAGTTTAACGGACAAATAATTGAATTAACTAGAACGTAATTGAGTTGTTCTGTGGTCTTCACCATATACATCTTCCAATCGCTCAGTGGGATTATAGTTGAAGTGTTGTCCATCAATCGTCCAATCTATCTAATTAGCATACATCTTGTTCCGTATTAGAAGAATTTCCCAAACACTCTTAATTCAGAGATACCAAAACCAATCTCAATCCACAACAGGCACCATGAACCAGTACAAATTCACACTGGGTCTTATGGAGGAAATCATCTTTGTGTTTTTTGACTTTGAAGAACAGAAAATATTAGAGAGAACAATCGTTTTCGATAACTTAATCATCAGTCCCTACAGTTATTTGTCTAAAATTATTATCGTGTTACAGTGAACATGTCGAGAACAATTATTCGCTCTAACGCTCTTTGTTCTTGAATAATCTATGGGAATTTATTGACTTTATTTTTGTACATGTACCAGTATAAGTATTCTTAAACACATTTTAGACACTCGTGTTTAATCAAGAATCAGTTGCTCGTATGCTGAATTGTGTTTACTTGTCCT